ATACAATTTATGAAATAGAAGATATTTTATTATAGCTCTTTAATAAAAAAGTTTCTGCCCTTTTTCCTGATTTCATATTAACTGACCTTAGAATTTTCCACTTTTTGATTCCAATAATGAATTAATAGAAGCGAAAGTGAATATCCATGAAACTGATATCCAGAATGACTGAGAGATATGAAAGATGAGAATATAATATTCATAAGTGTAGGAAAGATTGAGATTTAGTTAGTTTTGACACTGCCAGGATATCTTAAATAAAAATTCTATTCATCCAACGTCGCATAAGGTAATGAAGGATTGATAGATGAATTTTCCCCAATGATAAACATGCTGTAACTTAATGACACTTATCATTGCTTTCCTAAAAATATTCTCAACAATAAGACAGCAGTTTCGACCTCATATTTGTCATATCAGCAGTCAGGTGAGTCAGCGTTCATTTTTGACTTAGTAAGGCTATGTCACACTGTCATGATTGCAAATTGGTCACAGAACAGAAGTTAATTTAAAGGCGAACTGGGCCTCTTTCATATAACATTTGTAACTGGGATCGTCGATAAAGCATATTTATACTTTCCGTTATAATCGAATATATTACTTGAGTTCATATTGAGTAGATTCGATACTAATAGTAGATCTTGAATAATAATAGTTACAAAACCCACTCGATCTGAACTCAAGAATATGGTCGACTGTAACACCAAGTACAAGTTTACATTATAAACAATTATACTATAAAATGTGCTTTGGGAGAAAATTGGACAGCCTGGAAATTTACTTTTTCCCTCTGACCTAATGACACCCGTCGAAGTGAAGTATTTTTAGCATGTAGAAAATAAAAGCTGCACCACTTGGGTTTAATCCCATTTGAAAGTGATGATGAGACCCAGGTGAGGTCTAAATAACACTTATTCTTAATAAGAATACCTTTATGGCAGCAAGAATAACTGAAATGCACTGACATCTTAAGGCTTGCCAATATCATTATGGGAAAATGCAATAATCACACAATGCGAGCAGGGATGAATGCAGTTCGATGTGAAGATTTTCATTTTGCATGGAAGTACATAAAGAAGATTCGTAGGTCAATCTCACCAGAAGACATCGGCTGATTCGCGTTGTACTGCAGTCATTTGGCCTTAATACAAGGTCCAGGTTGATGCCACCCACGAGACATACTCAAACCTTTCGAGAGAAGACGGGCCAAGCTTTCATTCCTCATGCCACTTGAGAGCGTCAGAACTGGGACTTATTCTTGTAAAATCGTCAAGTTAACACTAGGTGAAGAAGATTGACCGGCTTTTTTCTACATGATATATACACTCAGTGCGAGCAAAATTTTAGATATAGATGGATATAGAAAGGTCTGGTTAATTCATGTATACTTGAGTATGTCTGTGTGAGTATTTATATTAAGTTTTGTACGTAAAACCGGTCATAACTCAGAGTAATTAGAAAAAAGCTTAACATCAGCCCCAAGTCATCAAGGCTTAATGACCCAAGGAAAAATGAAAATAAAAAAGGATGACCGAGATTGCGTTAGTCCATAAGTAACCCTGGCTAAATTAATGAAATCTAAGTCTGTACACGTAAAAGTAAGTTACGAGGCCACCCGTCTTAATTCGTTGGTCTGGATTATTAAGGTTGAATGACCCAAGGAGTAGCTAGTCTGGGATTGTGTAGCTCCGCACGGCAGTTTTGGCTGATGGTCTTGACATGCCTTGGTTAGAACTATCACTCGCCTGACAGGTTGAATCGTCTTATTTTGGACGGTGATTCAACACCCGCTCTCTCTTTTAATAATTCAATCAAGCATAAGTAATTCTTATTCAAATTTCTACCACCATCCCATACATCCAATGTATTCCCTGATCTGTTAATTTCAACCCTATTTCGTTTAAGGTGATGAAGGACTGGTAGTTGAATTTTACCACAATCATATGGATAGAGCAGA